ACCTGGTCACTCTACATTTTAAGGAGCTCTTATTTTATATGCTATCAGTGTGGGCTTTCATTCTCTTTGGAAAATGAATACTCTTTCGGGTCCCATGGGAGCTGTTCCTTGTGGCATTTGCACAGGCGACCATCTGAGCTGAGTGCCTATTAGATTGGATGAAGTATCGCCTAAGGTTAGCAGCCAGACAGGCCACCCACTGGACATGCTGGGAATGAGAAAGAGGCCAAGGGCCAAGTGTCTTGAACTGGAAAAGTACAGTGTAAAATTAACAACGGTAACCCCAGTGGGCACCGCTGCTGGAGGAAAACAGCCTATGATATCATAACGGAGAGAGAGAGGCAGCACATTTCCTCTCAGTGTTCCCGGGGAGACAGTTTTACAATCTTCTTCCCGGCGTGTCTGCGTTAGTTCCCTGATGCCAGTGTGGCAGAAACTGAAGGCTTTCAACTATTTGTATCTGTGCTAGCGAGGGCAGTGAGGCTCTGTCAAAGCCCGGATAAGTGCATGCTGGAACATCACACTTGAAACCATCATTTCAGTTTGAAAAAGAACCTTGGCGGTCAAAGCAGCTGCCTTCTCCAAACTTAAAAACACAAATATGTTATTGGTCTTCTAGTTTCTTAGGAATGGAAGGGTGTACGCCTGTGCTGTTAGCAGCTGCTGCTGGTACAGAGGCGTGTTTAACACAGGGCGCGTTTAACACAGGGTGCGTTTAACACAGGGCAGAGGCAATCTGATTGCTGAAAGCACTTGCGGTGCCTCCGAGAAACCATGGCATTTAAAAAAAGTCTAAAGAGGAAGAATTTCCCAGTTTTTATTTTTCCCAATGAAATAAAATGAATGTTGACGTGAGTTCTGGTGAAACCCTTCATTATTTATTAAATGCTGTAATAAATTTAAATTCAACTTTGTAAACATATCCTGGTTGTTAAAACTCAAGGAATGTATCTAAAAGATTCAATTTGCACTCCTCTTTATATTAATTCAAAGATCTTCAGTATTCGAAAGTCGTTGAAAAATATCCATTAAAGCCTATGTAATTGAGTTCTCTTAAAGTGGGTGTGGTGGTGTATGCCTGAAACTTGAGTGAGCATGGAGAGATTCAAGCCCAGCCTGGGCAATTATGTCCCTAGCAACTACGTAGCCAAGCCCTTGACTTAAAGCAAAAACAAACAAACACTTGTGTTTTTTTTAAAAGAAAAGCTATTAGAATATTAACACCAGTTATATTTACATGTCTAGGTATTTTTAATGTATAAGTAAGCATATATATATGTATATATCAGAATTTAGAAGAAATAGGTAGGGCTAGGGTATAGAAAATAGTACAGTTCTTGCAAAGTGTGCATATGGATCTGGGTTCAATCCAGTTTAAGAAGAAAATCTCTACAACACACAAGCACTGTGCTTAGTTTTGATAACTATTACCTGTATCAAAAATCATGAAAGTAGAATTGTGTTTTTTAAGTCATAGTTTTTAATCACCAGGGGGCTGAGGAGATGACTTAGTGGGTGAATGATTGCTGTGCAAACATGAGAAACTGAGTTTGATCCCCAGAGCACAAGTTTTGTTGTTGTTTTTTTTAAAGTCACACATGTTTGTACTCTCAGGTCTAGAGAGGCAGAGATTGGAGGATCGCTGGCTTTCTGGCCAGCTAGCCTATCTATGTGGGAAGTTCCAAGCCACTGAGAGATTTTGTTAAAAAATAAAAAGATGGATGGTACCTGAGGAACAACATTTGAAGGTTTCCTTTGGTGTCCATGTGCACATCTGAGCACCAGAGTACACACTCTTACACACACACACACACAGACACACACCTAAACACACACACACAGAGACAGACACACAAACATACACAGATGCATACTCATACACATACAGACACAGAAACACACACAGGCATACACTATCACATGCGAACAGACACACAGACACAGACACACAGATACACACACAGACACAGATACACACACACACACACAGACATACAGACACACACACACAGAGACAGACACATACCCATACACATACAGACACAGAAACACACACACAGGCACACACCATCACATGCGAACAGACACACATACAGACACACAGATACACACACAGACACACAGACATACACACACACACAGAGACACACAGACAGACACATATACAAACATACACAGATACACACATACACAGACACACACACAGGCACACACTATCACATGAGGACAGACACACATACACACACACACAGACACACAGACACACACACACACACACACACACACGCGCGCGCGCGCACGCACACTCGCACGCCCGCAATACTGTTAGGTATGAAGCCATATATTGTATTCCTAGCACTTTGTGATTTCAGACAGGAGGTTAGAGAGTTCCAGGCTATCCTTGGCTGCACATCAATACCCTGTTTAAGGAAACACACCAAAATCCAGAGTCTTGTTCATGAGTATGCCATTTGCTGGCTAACGCAACAGCCACTGGCATGATTAATGGCTTTGCTCTGAAGTTGACCGAAGAAGCTGTGTGTGCATGAGACAGAAAGAAGATGGAAGAGTATGTGGCTTGGAATAGTCCTTTTTGTAATAAAAATACAAATATCACTGAAGCACAATAGCAGGGATACAGTGTCAGCATTGTAAGCTTCTTCAGGTATTAGAGTCTAGTGGGTTTCCAGATCATTCTGTAGAGCCCATAGCTTTTTGGTTACCACCCATGGGTGAGTCAGCTCACAGGAGTCATGGTCTCTTGTTGACACCTGTACCAGAGTAACTCCATTTTATCTGATTTACATACTAACGCAAGGACATTTACATATTTATACATGTGCCCACTCTGAGCCCTCCATTATTCATAATGACATCACCTTCTTTGTCACCCCCAGCTTAAACATGAATACACAGTCTACGTTTAAGCACTAGTCTCTTATAGTATCCATGTTCCTTTAGACTCTGCCATCTTCTTAGTCCCATGCTCTCTGTTGTCTTTCTATAATAATTATCTTTGTTAAGCACGTCTTTCGTCCCTCTTCATGGAGACTCCTTTAAAGCCATCTCAGTTTATGCAGAATGTCTTACTTCACTCCTGCTCTTCTGCTGCACACAGAATGCTAGGCGGGCAAGCCGGTTTCTGCAAACATTTTGTAGGCTCCCCCCTACAGTGAGGCTTTTGCTGCTACTGTTGAGACGTTTGTTGCTGCAGTTAAATATCTATCTTTCATGGATGAGCTCCTCCCACCCGCATATTTTTTACTTCACGATTATTGCTTGTGTTCATGGTGCTGGAGGTTAAACCCAGGATCCGGCATGTGCTAGACACGCGCTCTGTCGTTGAACTCCAGAACATTCTGTTTGGTTTTTTGTTCTGAAGCGGTATCTTATGAACTTACTGAGCCTGGTTTTTGATGCGCTGCAGTCCAGGCCTTGTAGTTGAAATTCTCCTGTAGCCGTGGAGCTTGCTGACACTGCAAAGCAGTGGGGGTTCTGGGTACCGGTGGGCCTCACTCATGCTAGGCTAGTGCTCTGTCACTGAGCTGTGCTCTCTGCCCGGTAGCATCTTCCGATTGGTGTTTTGCAGCTCCAGTGTGCTTGCTCTAGTTCTCAGTTTCGTATTATTTATTTTCCTGGAAACTTGCGTTTCTTGACTCTGAAAATTCATATTTTTCATCTGCTTTCAAAATACACATCCTTAGCACTGTATATTATCTAAAATCCTTCTTAAACTCCAACGGGGCCTGTATCAATGTATTGCCTACCCTCTCCGACTATTAAATGATCTTTCCTTACCAGTGCTCTGTTTTATTCCCACCAATTTGGTTTACTCCATCAGTGTCATCTCCCGAATTTTGCCAACTCTCTCTTTAGTATTTGTGATCTATTAAGCTATCCTGTTTTGAAAGCTTTGATTTTAGTTTTTAAAGTATCTGACATTTTGGAAATATCTTACTAATTGTTTATAAAGTATTGGGTAACATTCTTAGTTTAAAAAGATGTCATTATAATTCCACTAGCACGTTATACCTGGTGACTTTATCTGTCTCTCCCATCCCGATACTTGGAATTCCCGATGGGCATGCACAGCTGCTGTTGTGCCTGCAGACTTGCTCGCATGACCTGATCCTCATGTGTCTTATGCTTTGGGATTTCAAGCTTTTCTTCCACTTCTTTCGGAGAAATCCTGCAAGGCCTGAGCTGAAGATGAGTTCCTGTAACAGTTTGTCTTCATCAAGGCCCTGGGTGTAGCTCCTCTCTCACCAAGGTTCCTCCGGGTTAATATCTTGCTTGAGTTTTCTGGGACTGCACTGGTAGTGTTAACTTGACCATCCACTTTCCTAACCAGGACTTTAGGAGACCTCGGAACATTCCGACACAGAGGGCAGGCAGAAGCTGCCCCTGCTATTTCCATGTAGTTCCCATGGAAGATGTGGCCCTTCATTATTCTGGGTTTCTCTGAGGTCTCAGTTCCAATTTCCTATATTGCTTCAGTTCAAATGTGGGCCTCGAAGTCCAAGGCCCTCAGTCATCAAGACTGTCAAACACCCACAGGGCAGGCATAGATGCATCTCAACACCTGATTCCCAGCTCTTAACAGCTCAACTGTGTGCTTACCTTCCTGTGGTTAATAAAATCACCTATTAAAAAGATGTTTATTATCTTTCATCTAGTTCTGCCAGGCACCTTGGTCTAAGTCTTTATTCAAACAGGAGTTTATCATTAATAGTGGTGATGAAGAAACCAAGGCCCAGAAAACTGATTATAAAAGGATAGGGAGAAGTGGAGACTGAGGCTGAGCTCAGGAAGTGCCTGCTCACCTCATCCATCACGCCGAATGATAATGCCTCACTTCTGGGAGCTGGCATGTGTTCTATCACTCCTAATAACTCTTGAGGCGTTTCTGAAATTGGAAGTAAATTTCCCCCCAAATCCTGATAACTTGTTAAATAAGGTGAGATTAAATCACTGCCACAAGGTCATTTGGTGTGTTACAGCCGTGAGACAAGAAGCCCGCATCTCTGATTTTCAAGGCTGTGGTGACAAGGGTCAGAAATTTAGTACGGACTCTTTCTTCAAGGACCTCCTGGCTTCTGCACCTGGATGGGTAAGTGCTGAGCATGAGGAATAGCCACCGGTAGTAATTAGACAGATGACTTCAGGACTGGGATATGCGGAACACGAAAAGTTCCAGGAGGTTCTCACCAACAAAGTCTCAGGTTCCCGAACATCTACTGCACACCAGGAAAACAGCTGGAAATGTGCACACACTCATTAGTTAGGAACCCTCAAAAAAGTGGACCTGTTTGCATTTTAAAAGGAATCTGAGAAGTACTGGAGACTATTGCAATTAGGAAACTCTTAGAATGGGTGAAACAACTTAATTTTGTGGGTACTATATCTAAAAACAGATTAGGAAGTTCAATATTCCTCTCTCGAACAAGCCAATATTAACAGACCAAATGCTACCCCCAGCCCACAAACTATACAATAACCCAGGGCTACAGGCTGTGGTTTCTTGGAATCACCAAAGAATCCTAAGCTCCTTGTGAAACTGAGATATTATGAGCATTCCAGATATTTCTTCAGTTTAATCACGTTTTCAAATGTAGTTCACTAGTCACAGTGACCTCCCCCCACCCCCAATTTAAGGAAGGCCTAGGTTTCCAACTTCCTGAAGAGGGCGCTATTGACATGGTCAACCATTCTAATTCTCCTGAAGAGGGGTTCATAAACACAGCTTCTGCTTAAGGATATTTGGGAGTTGGATTTAAACTTAAACTCCAAGCAGACTAATAACTATTAAGCTATTTAATACTTTTAAAACCAGCGTCTCTGATGGCTTATTTAACACAGAAGTCCGTTCACTCTCCTTCCCTCCCCCTTTTGTTATTTGATGAACAATTCCTCTTCTGGTCTGTATTAACAATGGTGCTTGGAACATGACATCGATAACACACTGTATGCCCTGTTGTGCTACATGTTGAATGATTTGTGTGTCTTTGAGAAAGTCCAGCAACTCTTCTTAATCTGGTAACCCGGAGGCGTCTGTAATTTACTCCCATAGTTCCTTGCCATAACATATTTCATGTCAAGGAGAGTCTTTTTTTTTTAACTCTTAATAGAGATATTTTCAAACAAAGACAAAGGGCAAAGAGGACCTTCCTAGGGTATTAAGTGAGAGCATAACCGTAGCTTGTTTTTTTTTTTTCTTTTATATTATTATGAGGCAATTGATGATTGCCTGGGGCTTTGCCGGTGATGAACCAGGCTTTTAATAAGTTTCGGTGAGAACAGAGTTCGTGGGGATAAGTTAATTAATTGCTCTGTTGTGTGAAAGCTTGGGGAGATGGCACTTTATTCTTACTGTGCAGCCTGATCATAAAACAGCACATAATTCTATACCACTCCAGTGCTTACCGGGAAACCCATTCAGAAACATTTCACCCTTCTTAAACAGACACCGTTAATAACCTTGCTAAGCCACAAGTGAAATACGCTGCTGATTGCTTCCCCCAAACGGCAAAGAAAAGAAATCTGTCCTTTGGGCAACTCTACCATCCTGCATCTACTATTGCTTACAAATTCTTTCAGATAACTGGCAGACACCTCCCCGTTGATTACCTTTAATCTCCGGGTTGGCAAAGGGCTCTTTATTCTCTCTGTCACTTGGTTGATTTCAAGCCAGAGCTCTCCATCCCACTGGACTCTGCCCATGTGGGAAAATGAAAGCATCACTTCATAGAGCAATGGGGTTTTCTCCTGATGGCTACAATTTACATGCCAGGAGCCCTCTAAGCCCTCCAGCACTTTCTTGATGCTAGGAAGGGAGAAAAAAAAATCAAACAGTTTCTTAGAGTCTGGAATGCTTTCCCTGGCAATTGACAACAGAGTTCAAGTCAAGTTTGCGATTTGGACTCAGGCTTCGGCTTTCCTTATGCATTTTTAACTCTTTGAAAGATGGGTTGGAGACAATGTGCCAAGTCCTTCCTGCTCTGTTTTGCTTTATGCTGGCTGAATTTTTAAAAATCTTCACTGTTAGCATTGGTTTGTAGATTTATTTTTAAAAATCCGGACAAATAAAACTACCCCTCAGAGTCTTACTGCTTTTATACATTTGTTGCAAGTTTTTTTGGCAATTAAAAATTATTTGTAGTATAAAGCAACTACCTTTGTGTGGTTAACCAGCTTCCTGTTCTATTGCAAATTTAATATTTTATTTTCATATGTGTTATAGTGTGGACTTCACACCCCTAGCAGACTGTATTAAGTATAGTACATGTGATCACTCAGAAATTAGGCATTTCTTTCCCTCATTTCTAAAAAGAAAACAAACACTCTTTAGAGGTGACTTTTCATATAAGGAGACTAGCCCAATGTCTGGCACATAAGCACTCATCAGATATTTAATTTTTTTCTCCCTGGATCTCATTCAACTTCATTTATAGTTACTAATCGGCCCATCTTGTACCATAGGATGAATCTATTGGAAAATAATCATGTGAACAAGTAAAATTCATGTTCAAAATATTTGTGTGCTTTCCAATATCATTATAACTTGAGATAAATTAGACCAGGTCAAATGACCACTAAGAGTAACTCAGTGAAGCCTTGTTTCCGGGAGTTTTGCTGTGGAGTCGCGTCCACTGGCTTTAGATAGGCAGTTACCCACCTTCAGGCCCCCTTTGTGGAAATCGTCTGTAACAATGCACCATCTACCTCTGTTTCTCCCTCCATGTTCCTTGCTGTTTGCCTTCCGTGTACTATGGAACAGGCTTAATTTCTTAGATCTTGGACTTGCTCCCAAGTTGCCTTTGCATTGCTGGACAGGGCCTGCATGGAGAGCAGGTTCCTTTCTCATGGGAGTTGTTCTAGAAATGTCAGGGAGCCCTTCTCTTTCTGCTATTCTTGATCAGAGCAGTCAGAATATGAGGACTTCTGGGACTCACTGGGCGATAGGCTTCTTCAGTCTCCTGGGCACACAATGGGCTTGCTTCTCACAGCCCAGGCTCCTGTGGTTTTATGTCTCCAGGGTGATACAATACTTCCCTTTAGAGTTTCACTACTGGGTTTTTCTAATCCACTTTTGCCCTTGACTGACTGATAACAGATCAGTATTTCCACGATGACCTAAGACTCCACGAAGGGTAGATTATGATGAAGGTGTTTTATAGAGCTTTAGAATTGCAGGATAGGAAGACCTTGTAATTCATCCAGTCACATTTTCATTCATTCTCTCTCTCTCTCTCTCTCTCTCTCTCTCTCTCTCTCTCTCTCTCTCTCTCTCTTCTTTTTTTTTGCAGGAAAAGGAGAGTGTGAAGGCTGATGAGATCCACTGTGGACACAGGACCCTCATCACATAACTTAGACCTTGTCTATCGCATGTGGCAGATCAGCCTTAGGAAGGTCAGGTTTAAAGTCATGTCAGGACTTCCTTGTTGAGGAACTCACCCCTCTCAGTTAAACCCATCTTAGCCCACAAAGCAGAAATGTGTTTTGATAGCCAAGAAGCTTATAATATTGTGTCTGACTGTCCCACTGTCCCCCCAGAACTGCCAATCTTAGCTCCTGCCTTTCGTGGGACAGCCAGCTAAAGCTTTATGCTGTCCATCGCTCTTTCTCTCTTCCTCCCAGCACCCTACTCCTTCCAGCTGTTCTGCTCAGTTCAATAATCTAGCAATTGATCACGAATTCTGGTAGACTCTATGTACACCTTCTGAGCTGTCGCTCAGTCTCTCTGTGGTGGAAACGAAAGCTGACATTTGTTTTAGTCTGACATGGCTTCACCCGCATTGCAGTTGAAACTTAGGAGCTATGGAATAGGCAGGAGTTTGTTCAAGATCCTGGGAGCAGCAATGCATCAGGTGATATGAGCCTTCTGGTAAACACAGCACCAGAAGAGGTGAGGGGAAGGGACTCACATTCTGCTATGAGGACCTGGACTCCCTTTGAAATGGTAAAGTCTTAAGGTAGATTCATCATAAATCTATGACGCAGGCTCTAAGGTAAGCACTAAAGAGTTTTCCAAAGAAGTATAATTTATTTGTTATTTGTTTGTTAGGACAAAATATGGTTGGGTCATATGCTAAATGCTCTTTCAGAAGAAAGGAAGGCAGAGGATGAGTGAGCCAAAGAAAAGGAAAAGCAAAGAATGAGAACGGTGGGTTTAAAGCAGTTACAGAGGTGATATGAATACAATTATATCAGCCATCGCTTTAAATATGTAGCCTGAATATAATGATTAAAAAGCAGGGACTGATGACTGGGTAGAAGTGAAATCCATTTCTACCTCCAGGCTTATGTAGACTGAAAGGAGGGGAACACAGAAAACAAAGCTAAGAGGCTGCCTCAGTCCCAAACGTTGGACAATGTCATCTAGTGGAGGGTCACAGATCCCGAGGAAGCTTTTGTCTTGGACTTTCCATTAAGAGAGAACCAGCCGTCTTCTCGTGTTTGCCACAGTCAACGGCACCTCACATTTGATGCTGCTCTTGTTTGGAATCAGCCACTTTCCCTGTCTCTTGACTCTTAAGGTCTGATTTGCTTTATCTGAAGTTATGTCACTCAGAAGCCCATTTGGAAAGTCATTGCACAGCCCCTGTGTTTTACCGACCTATTTTTTGTAGAGGAAATATAAAATTACCACAGTTTTTCTTCACCACATTGTTGGTTGCAAGCCTTCTTTGTATTGGAATGACTTCCATGGATTTGAAAGTGTTCATACACCTTCTCTTCCCTTCTGGTTTGAGGGAAGGGACTCTCTCTTTTTTTAACCTCTTTTTTTTTAATTTAAATTAGAAACAAGCTTGCTTCATATGTCAATCCCAGTTCCCTCTCACTCCCATCCCCCCCATTCCCCTAACCCTCCCAACCACCCACCCAATCCCTACTCCACTCTCCAGGGAGGGTGAGGCCCTCCAAAGTCTGTCATATTATCCCAGGGCAGGGCCTAGGCCCTCCCCCATTGTACAGGCTGAGAGAGCATCCCTTCATGTGGTATGGGCTCCCAAAGTCCATTTAGATGACAAGGATAAATACTGATCTATTGCCTGAGGCCCCAAAGAATGCTGTGACCTCCTCACTGACACCCACATTCAGGGGGTCTTGATCAGTTCCATGCTGGCCTCTGAGGTTCATGAGGTCCCCCTTGTTCAGGTCAACTGTTTGTGTGGGTTCCACTCACCTGGTATTGACCCCTTTGCTCATCACTCCTCCCTCTCTGCAACTGGGTTCTAGGAGTTAAGTTCAGTGTTTAGCTGTGGGTGTCTGCCTCTGCTTCTTCAGCCACTGGATGAAGGCTCTAGGATGGCATACTAGGTTAGTCATCAGTCACATTATCTGGGAAGGGTATTTAAAGTAGCCTCTCCACTATTGGTTAGATTGCCAGTTGGTGTCATCCTTGTAGATCTCTGGAAATCTCACTAGTGTCATATCTCTCCTCATTCCTTCTCCTTCTTGAAGGGATAAAAGAGCTTCTTGTACCTCTCTGGAGAAGGAAGGAAAACATCTCAAACTTTGCAGATGAAACTCACTAGGATGCATAACATGTATATTTTGGGGCAAAAGAGTCTAGACTTAGGGTCTTCTTTTAAACATGAAGCTCTCTGGGTGAGATCTGTGGATTTCTTTATTGTCTCAGTTTTGACCATGGTCTAGCCTGGAGTGTTCACCTAGGAGGCCCATGTCTGTGCTAGAGAGAGCCCCTCCCGTTAGCAGTCAAGGACAGCTTTCGTCTGTTCCAGCTCTGCACTACGAACTTCCCTGTTGCACAGTCTTCTATCCAGTGACATGATTTAGAGTGGGTGATGATGAACGTTTGTTAGGAACAAAGCGAAGGAAGAACGAGAGGCCCCGCCCCCTCTCTGCCTTCCTGATGTTTCTGTTTTCAATTTCCCTTCCTGCTACAATCTTGGTGCATGTCAGGACAAGGCTGGTGTTAACCCAAGTTCCCCACCCTCCCCCTTTCCTTTCCCAACAGGCTAGGTTGAGTAGCAAATATCTGACTTGCACTCTTCTCCACGGTGCAACAAGCTGGTTTACGTTGTGTTTCACATGCAGTGGGATATGCTTCAGTTACAGAAGACATTCTGAAGAGGCCTTCACTTTAATAAAGGTAAAAATAAAATCCTTTTTACCTTAGTAGGGCCAAGAATCCTAACCTGAAGAAGGTATTCTATGAAATGGTTTGAAAAGTAGGGGGAGGAATTCCTTTCCCTCAGTTTTTTTTCCTTGCAACAACTCTAGGCAAATTCCTCAGAAATCAGATTGGCAAAGGAAAAGATAGGGTGGGCTGGACCCTGGGACCTAGGCTTGCTGAATGTGTGCCATCCCCTTGCCACATAGCACAAACTGGTGCCAACAGCAGAAATAGAGATCTAAGTCAGAAGTGCAATGCAGACACAGACAGTCAGCAGCTCAATTAAACTGGTTAGTCCACAAATAACCTAGAAACAGCAAGGTTGCCAAATACCCGCCAGCCCCCCAAAAGCTTTACAAGGGAGAATGATAACTGGGTTTTTTTGTAGCCATATACTGTCGCAATTTAATGATGGATTGTAGACATGGGATTTGGGCATTAGGCTGCAGCAAATATGATTCTACACTTATTTTCTTTTCATCAAAAAAATACAAAAACTTATAGCTATATGACGCTGTGCCCCAAAGATAAAGATTGCCAAAGAAAGATGTGAGTGGCAGTTTCTCTACTTTTCTTTTCCTTTGGGTACAGGGCACATGTCCTGTAATTGTCATAATGTGTGCTATCTTTTGCTGTGTTTTAGATGTATTATTGTACGTATTGGGGTGTTTACAATGGAATATAAGACTGCCTTCTGTGACATAAGTATCTAATTCTATAACACACCCTAATCTCTATCAGTGTCATTTAAAAATTGCAAATTAAACATATTATTTCATAAACTAGAAGTACAATCACTTGGTGTCATAAATATGAAGGTAACATGTTATTTATATAGTCATGATGTCAGGAAGATATTATTTAAGTGCTTAATGGGATCAGAGGCTTAGCACATTGGAAATATATTTTTTCTGTATGTTTCCTGTGTCTGTTTTACTCAGTTTAATCATTTTAATTGCAATTTCTTTTTTTATTTTTTAAAACAGGACTGTAACTCTTAGATGCTATTAATTTTTTTTAATATTGGCAAGCTAAGAAATAACAGGTAAGTTTGTAGGAGTGAAGTCATCAATTCTGTCTTCTTTGTCCCTGTCTTCATCTGTCTTTCTCTCTCCTTTGCCCCTTTCCTTCCCCCTCTGCCTTTATATTCTGTATTGTTTCATCTTTATTCATTTCACCAAGTTCTGAACACTGAGGCAGAGGAAAAACTGTGACCATGATCTTGCTGGATACATATTATTTTATAAAATATTAAAAATGCTGCAAGGATCTACAGAGCATTTTCTGAAGTTTTCTAATTGTGGCAATGAGTTGAGGGGTTAAATGATATGTGGAAACTAATTTCTCAGGAAGACTTTATTCTAAAGCAGAAGCACAGAAAGTTGGACAGATAGAAGAGACGTGCCAGTTTGAGGACTGGAATGCTGGTCAGTGCTTTGCTTTTGGTCGCATATGTGTGAACCCTCATTGGTGCAAACAGGGGATGATTTACAGAGTGGGTTTCTCTCCATGGTGGCAGTCATTCAACCCTCGACAATGGAATGATTGATGGCAGCTGTGTTTTAGAAGGGGAAACTGAAATAGAGATTGGGTGGGGCTACATAAAAAGATAAGGAGCTATGAGGTTCCCATCTGCCTGGTGTTGTCAGGTGGGAGCAGCTTCTGGAACACTCTACATCTTCTCCTTCCAGGCATGGAGGGTCTGCAACCAGGAACACACACTAGCTACCTCTTGACTGCTTGATTTGGGCTAGTGAATCACTGATGTCTTTTAAGAGTGAGTTTTACTAAGATTTCAAAAAGAAAAAAACAAGTCATCTCATAAGTTAGTGGTTTGCATGTTAAATTTAACAACCAGAAGTCTAGTCCATAAACAGATCCTGAATTACAGAATTCACACTCATTGAAGGTTGTAATGGCAGCTTTCTCTTATCATTAGGACACCTAGATCACATCACATCTTCCACAACACAGATGCGTGAGCTGAAGTGGCCGGGAGGGAGGGGTTGGTTTGTAGAATCCATCCCCAGGGCTAGGAAAGGATAGAACTGGGGTTCTCTCTCCTCCCCTCCTCTCTCTTTCTCCCTTTCTTTTTTATTGTGGCAAAACATTCATAATACAGTTTGCAATTTTAACTATTCTTAGTGTACAATTTAGGTATGCTAAGTCCATTCACAATTTTATCTAGCCATCACCACTATTAGTTTCTCATGATTTGTTTTTGTTTTTGCTTTTGTTTGTTTGTTTCAGCATCCTAAACAGGAAATCTGTACCCATGAAGAAAGAACTCTCTTCTCCTCCCCTTTAGACGGTGACCTCATGGAACCTGAGGAGAAAGTCCTAGGTTTAGACTCCAAGCTTCCTAGGTTTAAACTTTCCAACAGGGTCACCATTTTCTCCTTCAATGCACATTTAAATTAAAGCTAGATCCTGTTGCATTCTCCTTATGCTGGGCTTTATGATTAGGTTTCTGAGTGATGTGGGAAGAGCAGCCATGGAATATTTCCAGAGAGGCAGGACTGTCTTTGGCTAAGGGAGAAGCCTGGAATGCAAGCTGAGCTCAAGCATAGCCCTCAGCCTGGCAAGTGCCTGCAGCTGACCCAACAGTGAAGCATAATGGTCAGTTTTCTCTGATGGGATGATGGATCGGTTTCTAAAACATGAGACTTTTTGTTGTTGTTGTTTTAAATATTTATTTCATTTTATGCATATGGGTGTTTGCCTGTATGTATATATGTGCACCATCTATGTGCGTGATGCCCACAGAGGCCAGGAGAGGACGTTAGATTCCAGAGACAGGAGGTTTGTGAACCAATGTTTGGGTGCTGGGAACTGAACTTGTATCCTATGTGAGAGCACCAAGTGCTCTTAACTACTTAACTCCACCTCCTAAAAATGAAACCTCTTTTTTTAAATCCTAATACATGTGGTCATCATGGATTTCAAGTTTAAAAGCCATTCACTGCTCTTGTCATAACCAACATGGAAAAAATGTATTACTTTATATTACATAATACCATGGGCTTGCCATTGTGCAAGCTTTATTTCTTACCTAATATTGAAACATTTTCTCTTGGAATTTAAGTCATGTTACTGTCTTCTTTGGCAAGATTACTGTTATACCTACCTGCTCTGTTAATATTTCATAGGTGCAAGCCTCAGAGCAGAAGAATGAAGTCGTTAAAAGGCACACTGAGAAAAAGTAGTAAAATGAATAAATGATAGAAAAAAGACTTCACACCTTTAATGTAGAAAGAATATTTACAAAGTAAACTCCCAAAAGAAGAAACTGAAGAAGAAGGAGGAGGAATGGAGATGTGTATGAAAAGGTGCTCATTGCAGCTAGGAATCAGTAAGAGGGCATTGCACACCGAGTAGACACAGTTAGGAATCAGTAAGGGGGCAATTCACACTGAGTGGGCACAACTAGGAATCAGTGAGGGGACAATTCACACGTGTAGACACAGGTAGGAATCATTCACACTGAGTAGACATTTTAGCAATGTGACTGATGGATGATGCCTGATTGGAAAGAGGGTGTGGGTAGGAGGATTCCTCACTGTAAACAGGGAGTCGGTTTGGTCTGTTACTCAGAAGAGTAGTGATGCAGTGTGCGGCAATATCTAATATTCAAGGGTTCCTTGATTCTGGGTGAGATTCGGTCCCAGTAAGCCCCCGAAGGTTAATATTGGAAGTAGAAGTGTGTTTAAGTAATTGGCCTGTGGACCATGCCAGCTTAGAGCACAGAGAGGAACAGGAACAGTTAGTGTACTTGGGACAATGATGATACCCAGAGTTTGCAATGATTTGCTAGCCCAGGCTAATATCAGAATTTTTGGTTTCTACTAGGTGCATATTGCTTTTCATCATCCTTAATTCAGAAAACCATTCCAAACCCTCTGACGTTGAAAACAGCCTGAATGCCTGTCATCCAGCATCACCATTTCTGTGAAAATAGTCACACTTCTTATGTACAAGCCCATGAATAGTTGCCCATTGTGACACTAGTTATAATAGAAAAATGGAAATCACATGAATATTCATTAATAATGAATTAGTTAAGTCCAAACAATGGAAACTTATATGATCATGAGAAAGTATGATGTCATATTATTGTATTCTGTGTGCAGATGTCCACAATAAAATGTAGAATGGAAAGGGCACTTTGGGAAGAAAACGTGTGGCTTAATCACACTTGTGCAGTGTGTGTTTATATGTGCTGTGTTATTTCAAGAATGGTATTCTCCAAATTGCTAATAGCAGTTCTATATGTGGCTAGATGGAGAAATTAGCTTCCTGTCCTATGCATTTATTTGTTTCTTGAGGTTTTTGAAGCACACATGTCTTTTATAATCTGTAGAAACAATAGAAATACTTGATTAAAGAATTAAATGGGGGCTGGAGAGATGGCTCAGAGGTTAACAGCACTGGCTGCTTTTTCAGAAGTTGGTTCAATTCCCAGCACCTACATGGCAGCTCCCAACTGTCAATAATTCCATTCCAGGGGATCCAATGCCCTCACATAGACATACACACAGGCAAAATGCAATGTACATAAGAAATAAAGAGGTATCATTGCAACTTTTTAAAAATTTTCACAAAGAAATTTTAATCTTGAAATTTTTACAACCAAAGAATGCAGAGGGGAACGAAGTTTTTAGTTGATATATCAACTAGCATTTCTGCATACTTTTAATGGAAGATGCCACCAGTTGATTTAATGTCATGTTCCAATGAAGGATATATGTTTGACTTGAAGAGGTTTCACATTTGTTTTTCAAAGACAGGATACACAGACAAGTGGGACTCAGTAAGTACTGTGATTATTGTAACTCACACAGGCTGGCCTCTCACTCCACATTAGGCTGTCTTGGTAAGCTCATTGTGCAGGTTTGGTGAGTTGAATTTTTCAGTTCAATAGCCCTGAGGTGGGAGTCAGTATTAAATTGTAAACAAGAAAATCATTTCCAGACAAATCTTAAAACTATAGTTTAAAATGGAGTGGTGGCACAGGCCAGTAATCTCAAAAAAAGAGTAAAAGTGACATAAAGGGCCCTTTGCCTACACCACCTAGGGAGGGCTGAATCTTCTTCATCAATTAGCAATTAAGAAAATGCCCCATGTATAGACTTGCCCCCGGGTTAATCTGATGGAGGCACTTCCTCAGGTTGATACTAACAACAGGCACAAAGTGGAAGAGCAGGCCCTCACGTTTCCCCAGTTCTTATGTGAATGACCTTGTATTTATATAGTGCTGATGGACACCTGTACTTGGGAGGGGAAAAATGGGATCCTCAGGTGCCATCTATCTGGTGGTGAGTATGTCTGTCCTTCCAGCCTCCAGCCTAGGCACTTGCACACCTCTCTCGGCCTTTGTCCTCTCCTGAACCTTGAGGAGGTCAGAGATATGGTCAACCTACTCCAATAAGATGTGGACCACAGTCCCCAATGCCAGGAGAGGTAGTGATGTGCCTAAGTCACCTAGATGCCCAGGGTCTTGCTGTATAGCATACAGGAATCAGCCTACTAAGGGATCCAACCCCTAGAAACTGGTTGGTAAGAGATGCCACGGCTTCCCACCTTTGAGTATGTTTATGCTTACCAAATAAGTAACACTCTGCAGGAGCACTGGCAGCAAGGTGGAGGGCACCAAAGGAAAGATTGCAGCTGGCTGATGGCAGGACACCTGGGATTCTGGGTCCTGATGAGGTTTGGAGCCGCAGCGTCCTTCCTTGCTGGCTCTGAGACTTCCGTCAATGGCTTAGCTTCTCTGCTTTGGTTCTGACATTAATAAAACAAGGAGGATGACACCTTTCGCCCAGAGTCGTTAGCATTAGAGGAGATAGAACACAGACAGCAGGTAGGACCCAGAGCTGGTGCTCACTGATAGTACTGCATTTCCCTCCCCGTCAGACATGGCCATGGCATTAAACAGCCACAGTAGGTCAGAAAACAGATGGTTTTGCTAAACTGCACAGCAACCTGTGTGTTGTTTACACTGCAGTATCTGTGTCAATGAGGCCACTACCGTGAAAGCAGTGGATAGGGGATTCTAAAAGCAGGCTTGAGGAAGAGATTGGGAGGGGGGAGCTTTACATTTCCCATCTCCCCCGGCGAGTAATGGCCACGATTCAAAGGAGGTTCAGAGTGGCTTGCCAGCTTTTAAACATTCTGTATCTTGTAAGAATAAGGAGGCATATGGATCCATTAGGTTTAAATGCTATTGAAATTCCCAAGGATCATTGAAAACAGGTACTTACAAACGACCCTAAAGAGCTGAGACTAACCTCCCACATCAGCAGTACATGAGTTAAACATGTGGTTAACTACGGAAAGAGAGGTGGCACATGGGATATCAGTCCATGGGAGACGATGCTCCATATTAATTTATGGGACATCAATAATGTTTTAGTCTAAATGAACCTCCCTATATATATATAAAACATTCTTAATTATTGTTAAACCGTTACTTTCCACTTACCATCGATCTAGGAAATGACTAGGAGTTTTGGAGTGTGCTGACACAGCACTGTTCATCATGGGGGTCATCTTCCAGAGCAGGTGTCAATCTCTTTTACTTAATCTCAAAGCAGAGCTGGTGAAAGATTGAGTGGTTTTGCCTTTAATCAACTCTCTCTCTTTAAAGAAGAAGAAGGGGAGCCCATTAAGATCAGGTAACTTTTACAGGGACATTAACACTCTAATCCTCTTTGGGATAGTGAAACATTTGGTTTCTCGCCAGGTTCCCGCCAGGTCTGGGGGCAAACGTTACATTTTATAAGGTGACAGATGTAACAATTCTAAAAGACTAGGTCAGGCCATCAACATGAGGCGGCCTTCTATCTGGGATCCCTGAAGGTTGAGCTGAGTGGCCTCATCCCTTGTGAATCACTATTTTGGAGTTAGCATGCACCATGAGTATCAATGCAAGAGCATATTGTGTTCAATTGTACATGTTAGGATTCCAGAAGTGCCTCTAGAAGCTCTAAAAGACACAAGAATTAATAGTTACACAGTCTTCTGTGTAAAACATATTTCTCTATGGAGACCGGAAGGGTAAATTTGATGACATTAGCTGGATCATAAGCCTGGAGGAAGCTGCTGTGGTGTCCACATACTCAGTGCAGATTAGTTTTCTGGTGGCAACATCTTCTTCCAATACAAGCAGGTCATACTAAGACTCTGAAATTGAGGTCTAAATAGATTGACCCCATCATTCAAACCTATGGAGTTCAACAGTGCATCCTCCACAAAGCACCACATTGACAACACTCCTGAACAAATTCTAGAAGGCAAGCAGCATGCTAAGTCCTTAACATGAGCTCATCGATTAAATTAACCCAAAGACTTGGAAAGCATAGTAGTATCCGTTTTAGTTATAGTTAGTTAATGCTGTGATGAAGTACTTGACCCAAAACAACTTGGGGAAGAAAGAAAGACTTTATTCCACTAATGCATACAGGTTACAGTCTATTGCAGAGGAAAATCAGGACAGAAAGTCAAGGCAAGAACCTGGAGGCAGCTGCTGATGCAGAGGCCATGGAGAATTGCTGCTTCGTGGCTTGCTCTTCATGGCTTGCTCAGCCTTCTTTCTTATAGAATCCAGGACCACCACCCACAATGGACTGGGCCCTCCCTTGTCAATGACTAATTAAGAAAAATGCCCTATGGACTTGCCTATAACCTTACCATAGGGAGGCATTTTCTCAATTGAAGTTCCATCCTCACAAATGATTCCAGCTTGGGTTAAGTTGACATAAAGCTAGCCACCACAATATTGAATAATTCTTCCACTGATTACAACATGCCACATATTGTTCTAAATATATTGATGCATTGGATCTTGTAATAGCTTGCAGACTAATGATGGTGTTCTAGGTAAAGAAGCTTGGACATTTAAATAACTGGGACACATAGAGTACAGTAAGGCCATGTGTAGTTGTTTGAATGAGAATGATCCTCATAGGCTCATAGATTTGAATGTGTGGTCAACAGGGAGTAGCACTATTAGGTATGAACTTGTTGGAGTAGGTGTGGCCTTGTTGGAGAAAGTGTGTCACTGGGGATGGGCTTTGAGGTTTTACAACCCAAACCAGGTCCAGTAGCCTGCCCTTTCCCTGCTACCTGTGAATCCTGATATTAAACTATTAGCTCCTTCTCCAGCACCATGTCTGCCTGCCATGCTGATAATGGACTAAACCCCTGGAACTGTAAGTAAGGTCCAGTTGTGGTCATGTGTCTCTTCACAGCAATACAACACTGACTGAGACACCATGCCACATGCTTTGTGGATCCCACATTAGCTGAAAGTTCAGGGTCCCTTTTAAAAATCCAGAAAAATGCCACTAAAACTATGAAACAGAAAGTTTGTTTCCTTCTTCCAGAGTCAATCTCTTGATTATAACAGAATTTTTACTTGCTGCTTAATGCCAGTCAAGATAACAAAAAGTAATAATGTTAAATTACTAGCATTCATTTTGCTATTCACCTTTATACTGCATAATGTACAACAGTATATTTTAATATTAATAGCAAGCGTGAGATTAGTTAATTTGTATGTTGGTTAAGTCACTTAGATCTAGCACTTTTTGATTCATGGCTGTGATGTACATATTCTGTTCTTAGCATGGTAGAAATACTCTACCAAGTGAATGCAACCATTTTTGTGGTTCAGGTTCTGTGCACTCTTGTCCATGTGGGGGTAAGTAAAGCACAAGGAACATGAACTTCCCTAATCCTCTCTCTTCTCTCCTTCCTTCCTTCCTTCCTTCCTTCCTTCCTTCCTTCCTTCCTTCCTTCCTCCCTTCCTTCCTTCCTTTCTTCATTCCTTCCTTCTTCTCTCTCTCTTCTTCCTCTCTCCCTCCCTCCCTCCCTCCCTCTCTTGTTCACTGGCTTGCTTTCTGTGTCATGGTGCAGTGAACCCAGTTGCCTAGCATAAAGCCCCAGTGCAAGCAAGCTGGGGTTCAACCATTTGTGTTTCTTGGAATTGCATTGTCTTTTCGGCGGGTCCCCATAGAGATCTGTCTTGAGAGCATGGACTCTTGTCTGTGTAGTCAGCACCCCACCTCTTCCCTATCCCATTTAGCCACCCACGTCTGGAGTTCACCGAGCACTTAATACGAGCCTGGTGGTGGAACTCCTGAGCATCTTGATTCTGTGGC